GTTTTCATATTGTATTATTATCTATGTTAAATGTACTATATGCAGAAACTTCAAAAAGTTCATTGAAAAATTCCATTATCTTTTAACTCCATTGTTCCACAAAATGTTTGAGCTCCCTCATGTAACGTAAGATGTTAGCAACAGAGGAAACCAGGCAAAGGGTATCTGGGAACTTTTTGTACTCTCTTTGCAATATTTTGTAAATCTAAAACTATTTTAAGATAAAGTTTATTTTAAAGAAAAAGTTACTAGTCAACAGAGGTAAATGAAGATGAGGAAAGCTGTTAAACAAGATTGTGAAATGCCCATTGGATTTGGTAACACGTAGTTACTGGAAACCTTTGAGAGACAACCCTTTGCTGTAGAGTCATTTCTGACTCAAAGCCTCTCTACAGGGCAAGTTATAACTGCACCAAAGGGTTTTCAAAGCTGTAAATCTTAATGGAAGCAGATTGCACAGCTGGTGGGTTAGAACTGCCAATTTGGGTTGGCAGTGGAATGCTTAATCACTGCATTACCAGGGCTCCTATAATATTAATAAACATATCATTTGTCTTTGAATTACTTTTCTAACAATCTACATGTGTTATTAATCACTCTACATTGTTGTTTTTGTTAAGTGCCATCCGTTGAGTCAATTCCAACACATAGCAACCCTGTATAGAGTTTCCAAGGAGCAGCTGGTGAGCTTGAACTGCCAACATTGCAGTTCAAATGGCTTTGCAGTCTGTCACATTAACCCACAGTGCCACACCATTCTACATTAGGAAATAAAAATGAGTATATATAAATCATATGATATTTGGATGTATATTGTATTACATATATCTTGGTTTTAAAAAAATTCTCATAAAATATATATGGAAAAGTAAAATAAGAAAAGTTACAAATTAAATTACACAGTAATTTTGATAGAATTTCTTAGTTTATATTACCTATGCCATATTATGCAGTCCTGACATGGCACTGTGGGTTAATGAGCTGGATTGTAAAGTTGTTTGATTCACAAGGTCAGTGATTCAGGCCCACCTGCTGCTCCTTGGAAACCATATACAGGGTCACTATGGATAAGAATGGGCTCAATGGCACTTAACAACATGTCATATTATACTGATAATATTTATTTTCCGATCTTCCTAGGTTGGTTATGCAAATCATTTGATGGGTTTGGGTATTTGTATATCCTCCAAATAAGAATATTGGAAAAAGCAAGGAAATTATCAAACTTGAAAAATAAGTTAAGTGAAATTCATACATATGCAAGAATACAACAAATAATGAAAAAAATGAATAAAATAAAAATCACTGAACTGTGAAAAAAACTATCAAGCAAAATGAAAGAAAATGATGTGAAGGGATTAGTTGGAAAAAGTGCATTTAAACCATGATCTTGTAACACATAATTTCTAACACTTAAGTATCAAACACACCAGTTGCTCCAGGAAACCCTCCAGAGGATCACTAAGAGTTAGAACCTGAATTGACTCAAGGGCACTAAAGGAATAAACAATGAATATATGCATATGTAAAAATATGTAAATATGCTCCTAATTTATGTATCTTTATTTTCTAATGGAAAAACCTTGAGACTGCATAGCAAACAATTACAAATCTCAATAATTATTCATCTATCTTAAATTTAGTATTCTTTTTCATGAGAAACTGCAAAGTTGTCTTCAAGAGTACCTGAGTGTTGAAATGGTCAAGTGCAAGACCAGGCAGAGGTTGGCAGTTTGAATTTACCCACAGGCACTTCAGAAGACAAACCTGAGGTCACATTCTTGAAAACTCTAACATACATGGGATTTCATGAGCTGAAATCAACTCAGTGGCAACTAAGAAAAACAACCTGGCTTACTTCAAGTTCAAAATAGTTATCAAAAGCAATTATAAAGTGCTTTTTGTTTTTTTTAAACAGTTTCTATAGTTAGATACCTAGACTTGCTATTGTTGTTATGTGCCATCCAGTTGGTTCTGACTCCTTCAGACCCTATGTAGGGTTTCCCAGGAGTGGTTGGAGGGTTTGAACTGCTGACCTTATGACCTTGCGATTCAAACTGATTATTCAGTCCAGTTCTAATTCTACAATACCACACCACCTGAACAATTTGACCACAACATTTTTTTTTCAGACGTGTGTGTCAAAGGGAATAAAAAAAGTTAACCCCTTCACCCCTGCAGTTTGAGAGTTGATTTTCTTCTTCCTGTTTTATGGAGTCAAAAGATGAATGAAAATACGTGTACTACTACTTTTATTTGAAGAAAGCTGGTAATCTAATGGTTTATTAACTGCACTACTAACTTCAAGTTCAGTAGTTTGAATCCACCAGGCGCTTTGCAGGAGAAAGATGAGGGTTTTAATGCCTGTAAAGACTGACCCTATACAGGGTCTCTATGAGTTGGAACCCACTCTGTGGCACACAAACACCACCACTTATATTTTGGGTGAATAGTACAGCCAAATAAATTCTCATAAATTGATTCTATATACACCACATTTGAGATCTTTATATATTTGCTGACTGGTAACAGTATCACAGTATTTGAGAGTGTTCAATAACTTTCATTCATATTTGTAGAAAAATATTTTATCCTAGCTATAAAAGTTATTTTGATTCAATTCTACCTATTCTATTTACTAACAATAAAATCCTAAGGAAATTACTTAAATTCTCATATTTTAGTTTTATATCTGTAAAATGAGTATAATAATATCATTGTTTTAAGAATGAAGTAAGAGGCTATACTCAGTAAATACTAGTTCCCTTAATCTAACTTTGTTTACTCTTATTTTCAAGTGGCAATACAACCTAAGAGGATGAGAATGGCACATTGGAAACAAATGGTAGTGGAATATTTTGAGTACTGTGCTATAATTATGTAGTAAATGGGGAAAGTGCAGGGAGGATAGTGATGTCTTTTGCTTTTCTTCAGCAAAGCTGCATTTAACATAAAGGGGAGTCATTTTATTGAATAATAAAAGCCTGACAATCACTATGACTGGCTGAAGGCCATTGCTGCAGTGTAATACTAAACAGCTTGGTTTTCAAAGTTCTTCTTTAATACTCTTTAAACTCCAGTCATTGCCCAGCCCGGTGAAAGATTCCAAACTTATTTTAATAGGGAAGTTTCTCACCATTGAACAACTGTGATATAAATGATGGAAAAAAATATGTGTTAAAATACTCGTTTTCTTTCAAATGATTAGAATCAGATGGTTACTGACAATGTAAGAAACAATTTGGAAAAAATGAACAAACTAAAGTTTAAATGGGAGATAAAATTAATCCATGAGTCACAGAAGAAAAAGATCGCATTTGAAGAGATCTTATTTTTAAAACAATGAAATGCAATGCATTTTACAGCGAAAACGACATTATCCACATTAAAATACTTAGATTTCCAAATGAAACTAAAGCACAGTTTAGGAAGTTGTCTAATCCACTTAGATGCATTCATCTTCCTGAGTCAGTATCCTTACTGTCATAAGTGAGTGTAGAGTTGGCAAGTCTCCCAAATAAATATTTAACGATATTTTAATAGTTTCTTTAAATCCCTTTTATTTAAATTGAGAATTAATACATTATTTGGCAAATGAATTCTGATCAGAAGGAGTGAGAAACATATTTGCTGTTGAAGCTCTCTGTGATGACTATGTACTTTAATTTTTAAATATTATCCAAGTTAGAATCTCTCTGATGACGACATTTTGTCTTAAACGTCTATATTGGAAACAAACATTGAGATAAAGATTTAGAAGCGAAGAATCTGTGAACTGCAAGACTGTGTTAGTTAATTGCTCATTTCCAAACACAGAGCTATGAGCTATCAATGATCCAACACACCCCATTCCAAAGCAGCACCGGTTCTGGTGTGAGTGGTCCACATAAAAGAAGGGGGAGAAAAAAAACAAAACCCAAGATGTGTTCTAGCTCCCAGAAAGCTGATTCTTGAAAGGGCAGCTATACAAGAATCCCATCGTATCAGCGATTGGCTAATGGCAATTTTGTTCAGGCGATAGAAATCCTAAACCGTATGTTGGGTGGAGAAATCACTCTCTCACCCTCACCTTCAGAATCCAAGGCTTAGCCACCTGGGCTCCAGAGGGCTGTGCCTCCGCCTCACTCCTTTTGCACGTCTCCGCTTCTCGACCGCCAAGTGCTTGCTCCCTCCTGGCAAGCACTCACACAATGGACTCACTTGTTTCACTCGCACCTCTCCTTTGACTTCCAGCCCTAGCCAGCAACTTGAGCAAGAGTCAGGCAGGAGCCTCTGCCATGGAGCCTTCCAGACAAGCTCTGAAGCACGCGCGCACAGGCAGACAAAACAAACAATGCGGGGTTCACGAACGAATAAATTAACGCCACTCACGCCCCATCGCTTTGCTGCACGAAAAAAAGGAACCCTCGACGGGGTTTTCCATATCAGAGATTCTGCTTTGTCTTTTCTAATAGCAACATCCCGTCCCTTAAGACAGCGAAAGAGATGCAGTGTGTGCCGAAGGCAATAAAGATTGACAGAGGCTTGGCCCTTGACAACGCCCCCAGCATAGCGCTGAGCCAGGTTCCCCGAGAACCGCGAGGGGAAAACGCAGGTGGTGGTGATGGTAGGGAGGGTGGACAGCGGAGGCATAGACGGCTTAGAAGGGTTGAGAAATGGAAAACGAAAAGGAAAATCGAATGAGTAAACCCTGGCTTTAATAGTGAAACTTCGAGAAAGAAGGGGCTGGGCTCTCTCCCCAGGTAAACTACCTTGAGATGAAAAATACATGAAAACCTAGGGAATGCTAAGCAAAAACAAGTTTGAGCAGCAAGTTGTGCACCTCTCTCAGGCGTATGACAGGTACCCTCTGAGCTCCCCCCAGCACACAGGATCCCCAACCCGAGGCGGTGGCCACGGTAGCAGCAGCAGCAACAACAGCAGCCGTAAAAGCGGCAGCTGCGCGCCTCCAGCCCAGCCCCGCTCGGCTCCCCCTCTTGCCGGCGCCCTGCCTGTCTTGCGTGTGCGTGTGCGTGTGCTCAGCCTCAGCGTGAGGGGCACCTGCTTGACTGTGCTCACAGCGGAGGCAGCTTTGCCGTGAGCTGCCGCTGCCGCCGCCACCGCCGCCACTGGTGCTGCCGCTCTCAGGCGCCGGGCTCCCCGCCGCCGCCGCCGCCTCGCCAGCCAGAGTTGGGCTCCGTGGGGCTTCCCCCTCGCAGCCTCTGTCCTTCCCCGCTGCCTGCAAGTCAGCCTGGCTCCGAGTCACGTGTCAGTGCCTGAGGCAGAGACTGAAAGAAAAAAACGCGCTTCATTCCTTCTTCCACCGCCATACTGTATTTTATACTAAATCTCATTTTTATTCCAACATTTTACTCCCGCTCGGTGAGTACCTTCTCAGTGGCATTCTTGTCCTATTCTTTTTTTTTTTTTTGTCCTTTTTTTGTTTTTGTTTTTTTCTTCTTTTTTTTCCACTTCTTTGATTATTGTTTGTATTTGGGAAATTTCGCTGGAGGAGTATGGTTTTGAACCATTTCCTGAATCCAAGTTTTTCTAGCATGCGATGGTTCTGTAGACAAGGCGCTGTGTCTGGGATCCGCGGCGACCGTGCCCGCTGGGAGCGACTCCCAAGTCCAGCAAAATATGCAACTGGTTTTATGGAAAAGCAATGTGAAGTATGGTGCCTAATTTTTTCCTTTGTAAAAATTAAAAAAAAAAAAGCATGTTTCTAACTCTTTTTTTTCTTGCATACTCTTTTTCTGATAACATTTTTGTATAGGTGGGATTTCACGGCAGTGTTTACAAGTTTGTGGTCTTGCAATACTGGTGCTAACCACTGAGCCAAAACATTTATTTTATTTTTTTGTGTGCCTTTTTTTGGAAGCCGGTAACAAGAAATTCATTTTTTCCCTCCTGTTTTTGATACCCATTGATAACATGAAACTTTTCTTGCAGCTGGTTACTGGGATCATTTTTAAGCAAAATACTTTTTTTCCCCTTTAAATTAACTATGAGTTTTGCACATTTGACTTTTAAAAAAACAAAACACCGAGATAATTTTAAGATAGATATCCTGATATCTATATATTATCCTTTCTTCCTTTCCCTCCCCTCCCCATAAATCAATTTTCAAATGATGGCAGTGGAAGGTTTTTCTGGAAAAAAAAATGAAGTGCGGTTTGGTTTCCTTGTCAACGGAGGATGAAGTGAACAGCTGAACAGCTCGCAGAGAGCAGGTACTTGGTCCCCTTGGAGGCGTTTCCCGGGTTTGCAATGGCAACACTGGTCCTGGCAAAGAAATCCTTATATGCGTGTGTGTGTGTGTGTGTGTGTGTGTGTGTGTGTGTGTGTGGGTCTGTGTGTGTGTGTGTGTGTGCGCGCGCGCGCGCGTCTCCGGGCAATGTCCAAGCCCACGGTGGGGAAAGCTGCGCCGCGAGCTGGGGAAAACCAAAGTGCGGTCCCGGCCGCGGGATCTTTTTGGATGTGCGCAAAATACTGGCCCTCACTCGACTGCGCTCTGGTCCTCTCAGCAGCGGGCGGCGTCTGCGCCGCGGGCGGCGCTGCCCTGGGATGCGGCTGCCGACGGGCCCAGTAAGTTGTTAGAGGGCCACTTGCAGAGCGGGAGGGGTGAGAGCAATGGATGCGGCCCTGGCCGTCAGGCTGGTCGGGGCGGCCTCCTCGGAGCGCCCGGGAGATGGGAAGGAGAAGCGGCAGGGTTAGCATCTTCCGGAGCTGCTGGCTTCTGGCCACGCGGGCCGGGAGCTGGAGACATTTCCAGATCCTGGAGGATGGCACCAGCCCCGCGCACTCTCAACTTCAGCTCCTCCTCTTTGCTAGGAGTAAACATCTCAGTAGGTCTTTCCTTGCCTTTTTGCTAGTTCAAAGGGCTTTGCTTTCTTGAGTGGTGTTGTCTTTGGATCCTTTTGTATTTCTTTGACTTTTAATACTTGCTTGCGTCTTCCAGGGGATGGGGAAATAGTTACTTTCCATGATGGTCACTTTGGGTTTAATGTTGAGGACGGAAACAGTTCGTTTGCATTAATGAGATTGCTCCCATAAGGTATGAAATAGCCTTTTATTGAAGTTTTAAAGGGATGATGTTTTCGCTCGTTTAACCACCTGATAGTGGTCGCAAAGGATTTCCCCTGAGAGCTAGGGACTGGGAGTGGGGGTCCCAGAGGACTGACTGATTTCCGTGTATTATATGCATGGAAATGCTAAATGTTGTAAGCATTTCTGTGGGTTTTATGCTCTTTTATGTTTGTACTTTACATGTTTCTGGTACAGTATGACTACTTTTTCAGAGATGTATCAGTTGGAAACAAAAGCATTTTCTGTACTTAAAACAGTAACAGAATCTGCTTGGAAAACTTACTATCCAAAAACGTTGTGAAAAGCTTTACGTTAATACTTAAAACATGAAATGTATTTCAATTATCTTATTTTGGAGTTTTGGTTTTCTTTCTTTTTCTTAAATGAGAAGTTCAGCCTTAAATTTAAATTTATCATGTGGATGTATTTTGGATTCTGTCACAACAAGTATAAAACAAGTGAAATAATGTCTTACTCCTCAGATTAAGTTTTCTTCTAGGTTATCTATAGACATAAAACATTGACTTCAGCATGCATAAGGACCTACAATAAAAGGGGTTAAAAACACACATATGGCTTTTTCAAGCAAATATTTCAGTAATTCTGTGACCTTAGTTTATGTCAATGAAAAGTTTTATGCTTTTTTTTTTTTTTTTTTTCACTCAGGTGAAGCTTAGGGGTGCAAAGAATCACTTAATATAGGTAATTCAGATTTGTGGGGGTATTTAGAAAGCTATTACTTTTTATTCACAGTACAGTCATTCACATCAAAGACATTTGTAAGTTGCAGTGTATGTAAGTTAGTTTTATATTCAAGGTAGCTTTTCTGGCTTTATGGAAGGCCTTTTGCATTTATTTAAGGAACATAGTTTATCCCATATGTTAACTAATAGCCTTGTTGTCTTGAAGTGGATAGCTCTAGGGTTGATGCAAATTTTATGTTAGTAAGTCTTAAATTAGCATTTTAATTTTTTTATGTAGTATACTCATTGCTAATATGCAGTATTTGATATTGTTTAAGCAACTAACATAACACCAAAAACAAAACAAACATGCAACATTCTTTTTATCATATGTGTCATGTGTAGACATGGTCACTTACTTTAAAATGTATATTATTCCTCTGTAGGTTGTATGCAGTTTTTTTCTGTTTAGATTTAGATCTATAATATATAATTTAATATATATAGAGAGAGAAAGCTTAGTGATCAAACCTGCACTTTCATTAAGATAATCAGCTAGTTCCTTCAGGTTGAGGTAGTTTGTGTATTGAGGTGAAGTACTTTTTGTACTGTATAATGTTTCCAAATGAGTTGAAACCATATGGGGCTGAAGAAGACATTAATAAGATTTCAATGTGAGGGCAGGTAGGTAGCTATGTTTTTAATTCTCTAAATAAAGTTCATACTGCTAGCCTTTTGCCATGTTTTCCTTTATGCAATATCCCTTTTTCATTATATTATATTATTATATTAAATTTCTCTCTACTACATTCCAACATTTCAGATTTTGCCTTCTTAAATTATGTTGGGAATTCTAAGACTCTTTTAACTGATCACCTGTTCTATTAGGTTTTGGTTTAAAATCTCTGAATGTAGTATCTGAGAGTTAGCACCGCCTACTGGTTTTTCATGGAAAAATGTATCCTTCTTCCATTCAACACGCCCCTTCTGATCAGCTTAGCTCTGCAAATTATTTTCAACTGCTAATGAGAGTTTGGGAAGTGAAGGTTGGGGTTAAAGGTAAACAGACATAAATTAGCTACTGGATCAGTAATTGACCTCAAGTATTTCACTTTACAAATTGGGACAAGGAAACATATCCAAATTTTAAAAAAGAAAAGTTTTTGAACTGTGTATGGAATGCCAAAACTTGGATAATTAAAAAAAAAAACAAAACTTAAGCTTCTGCTTAAAATTTGCAGTTCTCTCTCAGTTTTCAGCATCATAAAGAAAGCAAATTCTAGAGTTTTGCCTGAGGTTTTGGTTTCTTCAAGAATTGAAAAATGAATGTTTCATCATTATTTTAATGAAAATTGAATAATTCTTAAATAAACATGTTATTATTTCTTATATTTATTACTATATAATCAGCACTTTTTCTCTTCACACAGTCATGATATGGTGGTACTATGTATTGGGGAAAATTTCAAGACACATAATATATATATTCTTTTATATTCATTCATAACCTCAAAAGATGTATTACCTTTTTTCAAAGATAGCTAGAGTATTTCCTCTAATTTTATAAACATGGTTCAAAAAGGAACTATATTTATACTAATTATATATGTACTTCAGATATGTTATCAGGAGGGACCAGTCCCTGGAGAGGAATATAGTTGTTGTTGTTGTTAAGGTTCTGACTTATAGTGACCCTATATAGGTTTCTTAGAAGCGGCTGGTGAGCTTGAACCATTGACCTTGTGGTTCAAACCGACCTTGCAGTCCAGCTCATTAACACACAGTGCCACACCAGCATTCCATCTGTTGGATAAAGTGGAAGATTAGGGAAGAAGAGGAAACCCCCAATGAGATGGATTGGCACAGTGCATCAGCAATGGGTTCAAGTGTAACAGTAGTTGTGAGGATGGTGTAGGATTGGGCAGTGTTTTGTTCCATTGTGCCTAGGATCACTATGGGATGGAATCGACTCAGTGGCACTGGACAACAACAGCAATATACATTTATATAAATAATGCAAATACAGAATGTAAAATTAAGGAAATAGAAAATAATGTACATAAATTGTATATATAAAAAGTACGCTTTCTTAGTTAAAAATGCAATGTAAATACTATAAACCCTAAAATTTGTTTTCTTAGTTAAAAATACTGTGTGCTGAATAACTGTTTCTTGAACAAAATAGTCTTTGCAAAGCAACCAATAAAAAAGGTATGGCAGGCAAGATATTTTCTTGAAAGGCTTCTACTAAGTAACAATGTGGTCCTGCCTTGTTTACTCTTTACTAATTTTGTAGGCAATTAATTATACAGTGCATTAAATCAAATAAAAACTCTACGCTTCAAGAAGTCAAAGTGTTCCTTTTCAGAAGCAGAAAATACTTGAAATGGATATTTAGGATTGCTTGCATTATGAAAAGGAAATTGAAGAAAGCATTTTAATTAAATTTAAATTGATTTATTCTCTTTCCTGATTCCTGAAGACTTTTATTTTAAATGGTGATTAGCTGTAGCTTTGGGAAAAAAAAAAAAAAAAAACAACAGTTATTTTTTCACTTCTTTTATCTTCGTGCCATTAAGAAAACCTTTGCTTGTGTTATAAAAAACTGAG